AATGAGCAATTCAATTGAGAACATAAATTTCTCTTCAGAGCTATAGAGTTTGGGTAGCCCCAACTCAAATACTGATGGCAATCATCCCCTTGGCTAACTTTCCAGAAGAAACTCTTTGTGTCTGGGCATAGCATGAGGATTTGTCCAGTGACAAGCTCCTTTAGCAGCAGAGGCTCCAGCGCCTCCTGGAGCCTGAAATCTTGCTGCTGCCAGGAAACAACATGGTACAGTCAGCCTGTATTTATCACACTGAAAACTTGATTCCCCACTTGAGGCAAACTGCAAAAAAATGCACAAAATTGCAGCCAGTTGCCTCTGTTGATGTCACATCTGCAGCCAGGGATTTTGATAAAAGCAAGGAAAGAGCCATAGCTCTATGGAGTGATGAAATACCTTGTGTACTTCGGCTTGCAAAGGTGAGTAGCTACAAATTTAGAGGCAGTGAAATTGTCTTTACTCTTTCTTTTCTTTCTTTCTTTCTTTTTATTTTTTTGGTGTTTTTGAGACAGGGTTTTTCTGTGCAGTCTTGGTTGTTATGAACTCACTTTGTAGATCAGGCTGACCTCAAATTCACAGAGATCCACGTGTCTCTGTCTGCCTGAGTTCTGGGACCACAGCTGTGTGCCATTGTGCCTGGCCACTCTTTTTTGTTTGTTTGTTTGGTTGGTTGGTTTTGTTTTTCATTTAATCAAAGTAAAAGCAAACTATCAAAATTCATTGAGCTTTAGCTGGAAAACTGTTATTACTCGTAAACAATGGTGTGGTTTTTCATACCCATTTGATTTTCTATTTTCTGTTACTTCTGTCCTGCCTTGCCTGTCTGGAGGGAGAAGAAACTAAAAACAGACAGACAGGCAGGCAGACAGACAGATACATAAATAAATGCATAAGTAAATGCATACATACATAAATAATCTAGGAGGGGCTTGTAGTTCCTTAGGAATCATTACTTCTATCTGTCCATAATAAAAGATGGCAAAAGGCAGAGCAATGGAAGCCTCCCTCTTCCCTTCTTTCTTCTCACCCCTGCCTTTTTGAAATTTATTTATTATTTTATTAATTACAGTTCACTCACTTTGTATCCCAGCTGTAGCACCTTCTCTTGGCCTCTCTGAATCCCACCTTCCCTCCCTCTTCTCTTACCATGTCCTTTCCCCAGTCCACTGATAGGGGAGGTCCTCCTCCCCTTCCATTTGACCCTACCCTATCAGGTCTCATCAGGAATGGCTACATTGTCTTCCTCTGTGGCCTGGTAAGGCTGTTCCACCCCACTCAGGAAGAGGTGATCAAAGAGCCAGCCACTGAGTTTGTATCAGAGACAGTCCCTGTTCCCCTTACTAGGGAACCCACTTGGACACTGTGCTGCCACATGCGAAGGGGTTCTAGGTTATCTCCATGTACAGTCCTTGGTTGGAGTATCAGTCTCAGAAAAGACCCCTGTGACCAGGTATTTTTTTTGTTTTTGTTTTTGCTCTCCTTGTGGAGCTCCTGTCCTATCTCTCCCTTCTTTCATAAGATTCCCTGCACTAGAAAAGATCATCCTGAGTGAGGTATCCCTGAAGCAGAAAGACACATGTTATATATACGCACTTATAAGTGGATACTAGACATATAATATAGGATAAACATACTAAAAGTTGTACACGTAAAGAAGCTAAGCAAGAAGGAGGACCCTGGGTAAGATAATCAATCCTCATTCAGAAAGGCAAATGGGATGGACATCAGAAAGAAGAGGGAGAAAACAGGGAACAGGATAGAAGCCTACCAGAGAGGGCCTCTGAAAGACTCTACCCTGCAGAGTATCAAAGCAGATGCTGAGACTCACCCATGCCTTTTACTGTTCCCCTAATCCTAGGACAGGGTTTGTCAGAGGCATTTCTCATGACTATCAAAAAGTGATGGTTTTAGTTACTGGCATGGAGAGGATATTCCAAATTGCCACCTAGAGATTAAGGGTGCTCAGTGTCATTTACAAAGCTCTGATGGACACTTGTCAACATTGCTCCAACCCACCAGTTATATAGCTCTCAGCTCTGCATTTTATTCATCTTTTCAAGGGATGCTTCAGGATAGGCTTTCTGTCTAGATATGTCTTGTCTTTGTTTTCTTCACTCAGAATGATCTCTTTCTCACAGCTAAAGAAGCCTTTCCCTACCACCTTACAAATCTGTGGATTTTCAGGGTTGTACATCCAGATAAAATAAAACATACACAGTGTCCTCAGTTTTTTTTTCCTTTTCAAAGAGTAAGAGACCTGGCAACAATAAATTTCTATCATGTTCAAACCAAATTTTTTACCAAAACAAAAATTCAAAGGCATCAACAGGTAGTTTTATCTTAGCAGAGAGTCTCACAAACACACTTTGTTTTCATTCTCTTTATTCTTCTCCACAAAAAATAGAAGTGCACTCACTGTAGGTTGGGTTTTTGTCATCATTACTGCTCGATGTTTCCCTTTTCTGAACAGTCTGACCTTTGGAACTCATCCTGAAAAAAAAAAATTATTTCCATGATAGACAACGCCAGTATTACCCAAGGTCCTCCGGCACAAACAGCCTGAGTTCCTTTATTCTCAGTCTATAGCTTCTGGACATCACTAAATGATTGCTATTTAAATCCCCTCAGCATCCATGCTATTTTAATCAATCGTGCACACAGGCAGCAGCTGAACCTGTGAACTGGCTCAGGATAGAAAACAGTGCCAGAGGATTTCTGTGCCTTGGACAAAAGAATATAAAGTTGAGGGCAGTGCAGCCTTGAACATTTTTGTTGTCCATCACAGCTAGGAGGGAGTTTTGGCAGAGCTTTAGGGAAGGGATCAAACAGAGCCAATTTAATAATCAGTGCCAAGCTAGAAGACTGAATTTTACTGAAGGACATAATTTTGTTTTATTTTTTTAAGGCATGATAGTAAAACAGAAACTGGATTTTAATTGTTCTTTATCTCTAGAAAACATTTGATTAATGAGCATGGCACCACGATGAAGGCAGTGTTAGGATTAGACTGAGTGGAGTCTCTTCCAACATCTGGATCTCACCATGAGAGGGATTTAAAGGTTCTTGTTCCAGTGAAATTGAGAGAAAAGAATAAACAGAGAGTGAGCGCACAGCTGCGGGACTGTCCACAGCGGCTCCAGTGCAACATGACCAAAGTGGCACCGCAGCTGCTACCAGGGACGCAGCAGGCTCATCAGCAGGGGACATGAGACAGCAGCTGAGATGAGCAAAACTGCCACCTTGGCCATGATGCGTAGCTTGTAAGAAAGTAGCCCCTGCTTAAAAATCCAGTCCATAACTTTTCGTGTATTTTTTCTCATGTATATATGACTTGAGCAAGTAGGAAAGAGCCTTGTAAATGACTAAAGGCCTATTCCTGGTTGTATAGAGTAAACTTTGTCAAATTCTCCTACATCAAAGGATGCGGAAGGCCCTGACATTTCCTGAGTAATCAAGCAAAACTGACACTAAGGCCAGCATCACCTTGTCTGTATAATAGGCCCGCACAAGGCAGAGTCAGCGGATATTTGCTTTCAGTAAATGAACAAACACATCAGTTGTTTACCAATGGAAAAAGATCCTTATGTTTGATTTCTATTTCTAATTCAACTTTAAAATGTTCCTGGAAATGTAGCTAAGTAACCGAAATGTTGAATAACACAAACATTCACCATTGATGCCAAAAACAAACAGTCCCTCATATCGCAGTGATCCAAGAAGCCAGACATTTGATAGATGCAGTTGGAGGAGACATGGCTGGAAGACAGGGCTCATGTTCTGCTTCTGTGCCGTCCCTGCAATACTGGAGCACATCACTCCTCCAAAATGGTGCTGGGGAGACTAAGTATGATTCATGAAAGTTCAAGAGAAGTACGAGACACTACTTGTAGTTGAAGAGTGTGCTTGCAATCACTTATATGCCAAAGACATGAACAGAAATATCCATAGAGATGCTACTCAAAATATCCCCACACCAGAAAAAAATAATGCCTGTCAGCTTATACTTGGAGAAATAAAATGTGACATCTTCTACAATAGAAAAATCATCATTTAGTCTTTAAAAAGAATGAAATGCTAATTTCTGCTCCAACTCGGAAATTTAAAAACATCATGCTAAGTATTAAAAAAAAAAACCCACAAGTTATATGGTTCCATTTATATCAAACATCCAAGAATGCCAATGCATAAGGACCAAAACATAACTGTTCATCTGTGATTTGGGAAATGTTAGCAACTGATTGCATATAGACTAAAAGGAAATTTCGAGGTTAATAGATATATTCTAAAACTGGGTTACAATGGTGGTCTCCTATTTCCATAAATTTACTAAAGAGCAATGCTAAGTAACTATACAGTGAATGCAATCATGCTATATAAGTTACATCTCAATGTAAAGATGTTAAAAACAGATTTGAATAATGATGGGAACATTTTAAGAAATAACTATAAAATAAACAAAATCAAAACTATTTACCTACAAAATTATTTTAGTTTTACATTAATATTATAGTATGTTAAAAATGCTGTCCTTTATAAAAAATTCTTTAGTCTTTCTGGGGTGCTTATGATGTATTATATGGAGATGATAAAGATGACTCTCTCATGAACATTTGTTAAGTCAGTCAGCTGATAGAAATGACACATAGTAAGCATGAACTCATAGTGAAGGTCTAGAGATGTCACATCATTACATTGTAAATTGTGTGATACAGATTTTTTTTTGATGTCCTGTTTTTGTGATGGGAAAGCTGGCATTAATAATACTTTCCTAAATAGACAAAAATAAAGCTCATATTAAGAACAGCTACTTAAAAGGTTGTTAAAAATTACAAGCAAATAATTTTGAATATTGCATTATATATTAAGGGGACAACAATCTGCAAAGTGTGTTTTACTTTATTTTTAATTTTAAAGGAAAAACTAATCAATTTAAAATAATCACCATGGTATTCCTTTCTTTTTCACTTTCTCTACTAACTGAGCATCTTCTTTATCAATTATAGGATGAAGGGAAATGGCCACCTCTAGATGTAATAAAATTAGAAGGAGCAGAAATCGACATTGACAACAGCTTGGGAAAACCATTTGTTTTTAACTGCATGCCTCAGTCCAGAAGTAGATTATATTGCCTCTGTGCAACATCAAACCAAGAGATGAAAAGGTAATTCATTAATCTCCTGCCTCTGTTTTTACTTTCAGCAGGGGAATGTTTCAGAAGGAGTAGTCTTTCATATTCTTGGAAGCAGAAATGAGATAGAGAACCAAAATTATGGTAGGACCTGTTTGATTAAGTACAAGAAGTTTAAGATGTCATTATTTCTTTTTATTTCAATCAGAATTTCCAAAGAACACACACATACTCTGTTAATACTACTACTTAACTCTCCTTATTTTCTTTAAAAGACAAAAGCTCAATAATACCATAGCTCCTTAGTCATTTATAGCTGTCATTGCTAACAAATGGCCAGGTGGATATATTGTAAGATGGATAGTTATTGGTACAAAAATAATGATTCATGATATAGAACAGTACGCTACAGTGAAATGAGCTGACTGTATGAAGAGGGTAAAGTAATGGGGAGATGAGTGAGGGAGACTCTGATGATGTTAGATAAACACATAATCTACAAAGATGAGTGCTTTGGCATTCTGAGAAGGTAGCAAAAGGTTCTGACCATTGGAACACGTGTACGTCTCCTTGAGGGAACAGAGCTCACTGACCATTTTCAGTGAGCCAAGTGAAAATTGTAATGAAGGAACTGACAAGCTGAAGTGAGGGGTAAGACAGAGCACAGGACAGAAAGTTGATGGGAAAGGTAGCACATCAATCTATGTAGGCTTAAAGAATACCTCCTTCACCTTGCCCCAACGTTAAAGAGAGTACTAGTTCAGAAACATCTCAGGGGGAAAAGTATTCTGTCCCTTTTTGTTGGATATTGCATATTTAAGTAAAGGTAGGGTAAAGGACTACCAGGATACTATGATAGGCAGAGTATTTATTTATATTTTACATGCCTAGACACCATTTTAAAGTTTCTGTGGATTATTTGTATAATGAAAAGCCCATCTTTGGCTCCAAAACAAAATAAATGGGGAATGTCATGGAAGAGGGGGTGGAAAGACTGTAAGAGCCAGAAGACTGGAAGTTTGCTGTGTGACTGTGTTTCCTAGCAACATCAGAAGCAGCACCAACAAAGTCTCACCAACATGACTGTCCAAATGTGAGCTGAACAAGGATGACACCAATAGACATGCCAATGTGGATGTGGGAAGGACTGAGAGTCCTCAAACCTACACAAAAACTATAGGCAGCTAAAGAATGCTGAAAGTAGGAGAGTTAGTCTTCCTCGGGGAGAAATTGGTTGTCCAGTGCCAAACTGTAAGAACTAAAAACGTACATGTAACATTATGTAGACTACTGAACAGGTTAGATTTTGAAGTGTGTGTGTGTGTGTGTGTGTGTGTGTGTGTTGAAAAAAGGCTATGAATTTGAAAAAGAGCATGGAATGATATAAGGAGGGTTTGGAGGAAGAAAAGGGAGGGGAGAAATGTTATTAAATTATAATCTCAAAAGTAAAAATGTAAGTAAGACAAGATACCAACTAAAATGGTAGGGCACTTGTTCTTTTGAATACAAAATGAAAGTTGAAAAGTATCATAGGAGAAATCAGTTGAAAGCAGGTAGCAAGGGCTTGGAAATGTGGGAATGAATGGGTTAGGAATGGAAGATGGAGAAAAGAGAAGAAGAAAAGAGCAGAGGAAAGTACACTGGACACTGGGGAGAACAATGAACAGCGTGGTTTCATTGGAAGTTGGGGAGTTTGAAACAAAACTGGAAAAGGTTGGCAGGCAAGGATGGGGTCAATCTGCTGCTGCCAGGCTAAGGCATAAGACAAGAGCTCAGGCCTTCAGGTAGAACACCATAAGGTGTAGGCATAAGGTTATTGTGTGATTCAAATACTGATTTCTGTACCCCCCCTATCTGGTTGCAATCCTTCATCTGAGAATTTCCTGTCTAAATGTATAAACACTGCTCCCCAGTTGTCCGTGATAAAGCAGCTAATAGTTAATTGCTGAGTAAGGAAGAGAATAGGGCTGGACTTCCTGCCAGCCAGAGGAAGAGGAGCTAGAGAAGAAAGTAGGGGATTGAGCAATGGGCAAAGGTCTAAGAGACATCAGGAGAGGAGCTGGATCAGAAAAGCTACAAAGTGCAAGTATCTCTAGAATATATACTGGGAGGAAACCAGATTAGCATAGAGGGTTAAGAGTAGAGTAATCTGCTTTGATAGTCTGTAGGGCAGAGCCTTTCAGAGGCCCTCTGTGGCACGTTCCTAGGTTGTTTCCTGTTTTCTTCATCTTCTGATGTCCATCCTCTTTGCCTTTCAGGATGGGGATTGAGCGTTTTAGTCAGGGTCCTCTCTCTCTCTCTCTCTTTATGTTTTACAAAATTTTATTTGTTAGTTTTTTGAAATAATAAATCCATTCCTCAGGAAAGAATCTTTTTTTCTTTTTTTTTTTCATTTTTATTATTAGTTACATTTTATTAACTCTGTATCCCATCTGTATCCCACTCCCTCATTCTCTCCCAACCCCACCCTTTCTCCCTCATCTCCTCCCTGCCCTGATTGGGGAGGACCTTCTCCCCTTTCATCTGGCCCTGTTTTATCAGGTATCTTAAGGACTGGCTGCAAAGTCCTCCTCTGTGGCCTAGCAGGACTGCTCCTCCCTTGCAGGGTGGGGAGGTCAAAGAGCCTGCCATTGAGTTCCTGTCAGAAATAGTCCTTGTTCCCTTTACTCTAGGAAAATAATTGGTTACTGAGCTACCGCGAGCTTCATCTGAGCAGAGGTTCTAGGTTATATCCATACATGGTCCTTGGTTAGAGAAACAGTCTCAGAAAAGACCTCTGTGCCCAGATATATTTGGTCCTTGTGGAGCTCCTATCCTTTCCATGTCATACTAACTCCCCTTCTTTCATATGATTTCCTGTACTCTGCCGAAGGTTTGCTTATGAATCTTAGTATCTGCTTTGAAACACTGCTAGGTAGAGTCTTTCAGATGCCTCCTGGGGTAGACTCCTGTCATATGTTCAATGCACATCCCATTTGTCTTTCTAAGTGAGGATTGATCATCTTACCCTGTGTCCACTTTCTTGTTTATCTTCTTTAGATGTATAGATTTCATTATGTTTTATCATATCTTATAGGTATATATAAGCGAGTATATACCTATATACCGTGTTTGTCTTTCTCCTTCTGGGATACTTCACTCAGAATGATCTTTTCTAGATCCCACCATTTGCCTGCAAATTTCATAATTTCCTCTTTTTTGATTGCTGAGTAGTATTCCATTGTGTAAATGTACCACAATTTCTCTATCCATTCCTCTGTTGATGGACATCTGGGTTGTTTCCAGGTTCTGGCTATTACAAATAAAGCTGATACAAACATGGTTGAGCAAATGTCCTTGTTGTGTACTTGAGAAAATTTTGGGTATATACATAGCAGTGGTACAGCTGAGTCTTGAAGCACTATTCCTTATTGTCTGAGAAAGCACCAGATTGACTTCCAAAGTGGTTTTACCAGTTTACATTCCCACCAGCAATGGAGGAGGGTTCCCCTTTCTCCACAACCTCTCCAGCATGTGTTGTCACTTGAGATTTTCATCTTGGCCATTCTGATGGGTGTAAGATGAAATCTCAGGGTCGTTTTGATTTGCATTTCCCTAATGGCTAATGAGGTTGGCATTTCTTTAGGTGTTTCTCTGCCATTCGATATTCCTCCATCAACAATTCTCTGGTTAACTCTGTTCCCCATTTTTTAATTGGATTACTTGGTTTGTTGCTTTTCAGCTTCTTTAGTTCTTAATATATACTGGATATTAGCCCTCTGTCAGATAAAGGGTTGGTGAAGATTCTTTCCCAATCTATAGGCAGTCGTTTTGTTTTTATGACAGTGTCCTTTGCTTTACAGAAGCTTTTCAGTTTCATGAGGTCCCATTTATTGATTGTTGCTCTTAGAGCCTGTGCTGTTGGTGTTCTGTTCAGAAAGTTGTCTCCTGTGCCAATGAGTTCCAGGCTGTTCCCCACTTTTTCTTCTAACCAATTTAGAGCATCTGGTTTTGTGTTGAGGTCTTTGATCCACTTGGACTTTAGTTTTGTGCAGTTTCTTTAGTTTTGATTAGTTTCTTTAGATGTACAGATTTTAGTAGGTTTATCCTATGTTATATGTCTATATGATTGAGTATATACCCTGTGTGTCTTTCTGCTTCTGGCTGCAGACTATCAAAGCAGATGCTGAGACTTATGGCCAATTGTTGGGCAGAGTGCATGGAATCTTATGTAATAAGTGGGAAATAGTAAGAGCTGGAGAGGACAGGAACTCCATAAGGAGAGCAACAGAACCAGAAAAATTGAACACACGGGTCTTCCCAGAGACTCATACTCCAACCAAGTACCAGGCATGGAGATAACATAGAACTCCTTCACAGATATAGCCCATGGCAGTTTAGTGTCCAAGTGGGTTACATAGTAATGGGAAGAGGGACTGCCTCTGACATAATCTGATTGGCCTGCTCTTTGATCACCTCCCCCTGAGGGGGTAGCAGCCTTACTAGGCCACAGACGATGACAATGCAGCCACCCTGATGTGATCTGATAGACTAAGATCAGAAGGAAGAAGAGGAGGACCTTCCCTATCAGTGGACTTGGGGAGGGGCATGCATGAAGAAGGGGGAGGGAGGGTGAGACCGGGAGGGGAGGAAGGAGGGACTTATGGTGGCATACAAAGTGAATAAACTGTAATAAATAAAATAAAATAAGAGTAGAATAATAACTGCTCAATGATTGTGTTTTGGACTTTATTATTAAACAAATATAAAAGAGTTTTAATTATTTGTGTGATAGCTGGGTTAAGAGAGAAACTGAGAAACAAACAGTTTTATAAAAATAATTCTAACAACAAGGCATACTAATGAAGCCAGTGTCTAAAGAATACACAGAAAGGACTTAAGACAATGACCATTTGCTAGTAATGCCATATTTTAGAAGTCAGTGCTTTATAGTTAGTATAAGCATGCCATTGTTAACAATTTCCAAACCTTAGAAATAATGAATTAACTTTCTCTTGGGCACTGGTCAATTGATGTAGTGAGAGATAACACAAATTTCACTTTAGATATACATTATGAATAAGGTTTTGCCACACTTTACATTTGCAAATGTGTTACCTTCACTCAGGAGTGGTGAAATATACCTGAGGCTCAGGACTGCTCTGCCTGAAGGGCATGTTAAGCAAGAGCAAGCTTCTCTGTGTGACACTCCACAGCTCCCAGTGAATTGCCCTTTCCTTTTACTGTCTTTCAGGTGGCTTGAGGCAATGCACAAAGCAGCCCATCCTATCCACCAGGTAAGGTTTTCTCTGTCCTGGTCTGCTTTCAGTTTGTGTTTTCTTACAGAAGAGGAAGGAACAAGATAGATGTCATGCCACCCAGTCTGGGACATCTTAGATCTATTCTAAGTGCTGGGAAAAGGAATGGCATCAATTGTGGTTTTGCTCAGATCTGAGAGGGGAGCTTTCAATCCCGCTGTTCTTTTTATTTTCATGAGTTTGTATGAGATTCCTTCCAACAGGACTTTAGATGGAGTCACAAAGTGAGGTGTAATTTCTGATTCACACAGAGCCATGCTCACTGCATTGTCCACCAAGGTGATAAACTAATGTTGCTGTTAGGATGCCCCCTCTGTCTCGGGGTGTACAGTAATCCGTTCATGTCTGTTCCATAGACACGTTAGCCACTTGGCACTATTCTTCCACATCCATGGTCTCCAACTTTGGAGCAACATCATTCTATTAGATTTTTACATATAAAATGTCAGGTGCCTTCATTATATCATCAGGCAAACCATTCATCACCTCAGACCCTAAGGCATGAGGCAGCCCTCTTTCTGAGTTTGTGCCATAACATTTGGGGAACACTATCTTAATTCACAACTGTCTCACTTTTACAGTGTGTATGTGATTTGTCATGAAGTTATAGATTTTATTTGATGTGATCATTCCTTCATAAGAAGGCACGCACTTATTACCGTCTTCGCACATTCAAGTTTATACATTAGCAAACATTCAGGGTGGAGTTTGGAGGTCCTTGCCTTGTAACTGGCCTTTCAGAGCAGTCATGAGCACTGTCACATAATAAACAGCAGGACTTGGTGTTTCATTTTACCTGGAATACAACAGTCCACACAATCACCAATGCACCACCCTAATGAGCCTGGGTACTTTTAGGAGGTGTCTATTCTGCTAATGCACTCAGAGTGTCTGCAGCAAGTGAAAAAAAAAAAGTGAACAGCCAAACTCCCAGCAGGCTCCCACTTCACAGCACTGAATACAGCAAGCTCTGCATCCTGCTATCTTTTCACTGCCTTGTTAAAACGAAAGGGCAAAACCAAAACCGAACAAAGAGAACCTGGCAAGCACAGGCTAGTTCTGATGAAGAGATAAAGCGCAGTGCTCCTGGCCGTGGGTCAGAGTTCTCAGAAAGAGCCTGTTTCCCAGGCCTGTGGACTGAGGGCTGCCCTCCAGGTTAGAGGACCTCCATTTATCATCAGCCTTCCACTTCAGTGACCGTGAGAGCCCAAGGCTGGAGCTGGCCTGGAGCATTTAACTCGTTCTTTTGCACAAGTAGGGGTTCACATAAAGAAAGGCATGAGCCAGAGGCTGCTATTATTCATAGTGGACATACCAGAGACTGGGCCTTGGAGCACAATCCCTGTGATGTGAGAAACGGCACATCAGGGCATTAATAACTCTGGTGAGGTACCTATTCCCATTGGCTCTCTATGCCCAATCTCCTGTTTTTTGGCTGATACTCTTTTGATTTCTTCAGAATATAAGAGAAGAGGGAGTTCTCTACATGCAAAGGCTAAATCTGGCTATTACTCAAGCAGTGAGGTTATATTAGCACTAGAAAAATTTAGGATAGCGGCTGCTAAAGTCACACAACTTGCTCCCATGTCATTGCTGTGTGGGTGGAAGGTGTCTCGGTGCAGGGTGGCCACTTACGTGTCCTTGCACTACGCCTGCAGAGCCACGTCTGGGAAGATGTCACACTGCACAACAGTAGCCTCCCACCCCTTGCGATCACACAGCCCGAATGCCTGGGCCTCCTGCATCAGCTGGAGAGAAGCACAGATTCGTGGATCCAGCACTACTGCATCCTCAAGGATGGCTGCTTGTATTTCTATGCTAGCATTCGCTCCACCCAGGCATCAGGTAAGGAGCCAATGTCACTTGGAATGACTGTAATTACAATAGCAAGAAGTACACCACTAGCCCCACGGAACCTTTGCAAACTCCTGTGTGATTCTTTCACCTGAGTCAGCCCATGGATACTCCACAGGAGAGGTGCTGTTGCTCCACCACTGTTCTACTTGTCGATTACAAATGCAGTTGCACAGTCCACTCAGAACAATGGCTAGCGAGTGGAGAAATAAGCAGTCTACTGAGATCCGAAGAGCCACGCTAGCCCCGAAGCCTGAAGCCTTAATGTCTCACACTTGCTCTCTAGAAGTTAAAACATAAACAACCTCATTCCTTCGGTCACTAATGGCTTTCAAAAGGAACGCCAGTTATTTTCTTAGGTTGAAATGTCCTTTTTTCCTCAGAGTATGCCTAATTTGGATGTTGGCAGTCTGATTTTCATGGTCAGTTTGCTCAACTTCCCACAATTTTCTTTCCTTCCTCATAAAAATGGAAAGAGCCGCTGACTGATATACAAGAATGCTGGGAAGACCGAGACGTTGTTATCCTGGGGTAGAGCTGTCTAACCTGGATGTTCCGGGGGCCCTGCAGGCCTCCGCAGGAAGGTTTGTGATGGGTGAAACAGCTTTATCTTAACCCCATGAAACAGGGCTTCTTGGGCTCCCACTCCCCAAGGTATCTGTGCTGGTTAGTTTTTTGGTCAACTTTACACAAGCTCAAGTCTTCTAGAAAGGAACCTTAATTGAGAAAATCTCTATGTTTTGAGAAAAGCTCTATGTTTGTTTAGTGGTCTGAGTATAAAAAGCTACTCTCATATACATTATATTCATTTATCATAAATTTATTTTGCATTCATATGATGTTATATATATATACTATTTAAAAGATAGATATATACAGATTATATAATAATAAAATAATTATATCTGAAATCTACAGAAGAGCTTTCTTACATTTTAAAAAATGTTATTTAATTATTTATTTCAAATTTTAATTGAAATGTAATTATATGACTTCCCCCTTTCTTCTTCTCCTTCCAACCCCTCCACGACCCTCTCACTCCCTCTCAAATTCATGGCTTTTTCTTCTTTAATTATATACGTATACTAAGCCTATTTAGTGTTTCTTGTGTATATATGTGGGTATGTAGGTGTGCAAACAAAAGAGAGAGAGAGAGAGAGAGAAAGAGAGATTTCAGGACTGACCACTTAGTAGTGAATGACCAATTATGCTTTCATTTGAGGTGAAGACTAATTATTTTCTCTCATCAGTCTTTAGTTGCTTTAGTTCAGTTCAGTTTGCCAACATCTCTAGTTCCTTGTCTAGCTGTAGGATTCCCCATTTCACATTAGTATGTCTTTCAGTACTATCACCAGATCCTATTTAGGCAGCCATGTAGTTGAGGTATCACGGGTGAGACTTCCCTGTCATTTCAGGGAGACACGGTCTCACAGAAGAAGCCCAGGTCCTCTAGCTATTAAAATCTTTCTCAGATGTAGCCCATGTCAGCTCAGTATCCAAGTGGGTTCCCTAGTAAGGGAAAGAGGGCTTGTCTCTGACATGAACTCAGTGGCTGGCTCTTTAACAACCTCCCCCCGCCCCCGAGGGAGGAGCAGCCTTGCCAGGACACAAAGGAGGACAATGCAGCCAGTCCTGATGAGACCTGATAAGCTAATGTTGGATGGAAAGGGAGGTCTTGGTGGACTTGGAGAGGGGCATGGGAGAATATGAGGGAGGGAGGGTGGTATTGCGAGGGAATAAGGGAGGGGGTTACAGCTAGAATGCAAAGCAAATAAAATGTAATTAATGTAAAAAATTAAAATTTAATTTAAAAAAATCTTTCTGCTCTTTCCTCCATGATGTTCCCTAAGCCTCAGGTGTAGGAGTTATGTTGTAGAGGTATCTATTGGAACCGGGCACCCCATGGTCAATTATTCTCTGAATTTTGACAAGTTGTGGTTTTCACTCTGCTGCCAAGACACTCTTTTTGTTTTTGTTTTTGCTTTGTTTTGTTTTGTTTTATGAAGGACAAGAGCCCCACTTACCTGTGGGTATAAGTTTTAGAGTGCAATTGGTAATTATACTAGTTTATAAAGTGGCAATAGGAGGATCACTTCTAAGACCCATGATAACAGTACCCTAAGGAGTTGGCCGGGTTTCCAGTATGAGACAGGATTTCCCTCCTGTTGTGCAGGCTTTAACTCCAATTAGAGTGCTGTGGCATGAGCGCCACTATTGTAGCTTTAGGTACCTTTTGACATACTTGTCATTGTTTTGCTTCTTAGGTGTCACAACTGGGTAGGACTATTGATTGACTCCCTCCATTGGCAACTTACATAGCATCTTCTGGTACCATAAAAGCTAGTCTTTGGAGAGGGAGCTTTCAGGTCAGATTGAGCTCAAATACTTTCTCCATATCACATGGTATTTTCAACAATAAAGACTTACCTTCAATTTCTGAAAGGAAACCAAGGGCAAGAGCAATAGCTTATATTGTTTGGGGAGTCTCTTGAAAGTCCCTAACCAACTACTCAAGAAAGAGGTTTATCATGCCCGGTGCTGAGGTCTTTTTGTTAGACACTCTATGGTTCTCAGAAGGAGCATTACCATCTAAAGTGTTATAACTTCATTGTCTTAGTTGGAGTCTTTTATTGCTATGATGAAACACCAGGATGAAAAGCAAGTTGGAGAGAAAAAGCTTCATTTGTATTACTTTCATATAACTGTTCATCATTGAAGGAAGTCAGGAGAGGAACTCAAACAGAGCAGGAACCTGGAGGCAGAAGCTAATGCAGAGGCTGTGAAGGCATGCTGCTTACAGGCTTGTTCAGCCTACTTTCTTATACAAGCCAGGACTACAAACCAAGGAATGACACCACCGCAATGGGCTGGGCCCTCCTGTAGCAATCACTAATTAAGAGAATGCCCTTCAGACTTACCTACAGCCCAATTTTTGGAGGCATTTTCTTAATTGAGGTTCCCTCCTTTCAGATGACTTTAGTTTATGTCTAGTTGACATAAAAGTATCCAGCACATTCATTAAACAAATATATGCATACATACATATCACATACACTTATATATATTAGATGTAATTTTAGATAAATATCCAGTAATATGATTCATTAAGACCTTAAAAAGGTCTTCAGTAGTATTTATCCTTCCTTTCCATCTTTCTGTATTTATCTCCCTCCTACCCACCAGTTAAATCTGCCCCATTTTCCCTTTCTCTTACAATTTTTTTTAATAAAACCAACTAGTATTGTCATATTTCTGCTTGAAATGCCTGTTATGTGAATGACCATTCAACAATTAGCTGTAGTGTGAATGTGGAACCTGAATGATTTGGTTTCTATTTTTAGCGTTAATGCTCATGCCGAGCTAATACCAGCAGACACGCCAAAGGGGAAGAAAGGCTTTAGTGACAGCTCCAACTGTCTTGGATGTTTAAATAGATAGAAAGGCAGCTCACTTCACTCCATGGCCCATTTTCTACCATTTGGAATGAACAGTGGAAATACTCTCCTCTTAATCACAGCAAAGATTCTTTTGACCTGGCCCAGATGAACATGTAGCTATGAAGAGATAAATGGCCTCTTTCAGAACTAATAGAGAAGGCTGTTCCTGTGCAGCCTACACCTTCCAACGTTAACAGCTGATAATAGAATAAGAAGCAAGGGAAACAAAACAATCCAAACTACAGATTCATCATTAGAATCTGTAGACATAGGATATTGTTTTAAAATATTAATATTTTTACCAAGTCGTTCAAAGTAATTTTCAAGAGATTGCTTCTATAGATATAAATAAAGGGAGAGCTTAGGTCTAAATTCATATTTTTCTCCAAACTCAGAAAAAAAATTTTAAATATTTCCATACTAAGACTCATAACCAAACCTTTGGCAGAGTGCAGGGAACCATATGAAAGAAGGGGGAGTTTGTATAACGTGGAAAGGATAGGAGCTCTACGAGGACCAAATATATCTGGGCACAGGGTCTTTTCTGAGACTGACATTCAACCAAGGACCATGTATGAATGTAACCTAGAACCTCTGCTCGGATGTAGCCCGTGGTAGCTCAGTAACCAATTGGTTTCCCATAGTAAGGGGAACAAGGACTATTTCTGACAGGAACTCAATGACTGGCTCTTTGGCCTCCCCACCCCCCAAGGGAGGAGCAGTCCTGTTAGGCCACAGAGGAGAGCTTTGCAGCCAGTCCTGAAGATACCTGATAAAACAGGGTCAGATGAAAGGGGAGGAGGTCCTCCGCATTCAGTGGACTTGGAAAGGGGCAGGGAGTTGATGAGGGAGGGAGGGAAGGTTTGGAAGGGAATGAGGGAGGGGAATACAGCTGGGATACAGAGTTAATAAAATGTAACTAATAAAAAAAAAAGAAAGAAAGAAAAAATAAGCTCACGGCTCTTTTCAAATTCCAAAGATGCAGTAGTGGCTCACTTGCCTCGGCAGGAACCAAGAACTCTCTGATTCAAATTAAACTCTGCTCGACCAGAGAGGTCCCATCTCTGCGACGGGAAACTAGGTAACTACTCAGGGCTAGTGAGGAGGTTAGAGGAGGAGCCTCTACAAACTCGATAATCCCTAACAGCAATCTACAGACATTTGTCCTTTGTGCTAGTCAGGATTCTCTAGAGGAACAGAATTTTCATAATTATGTATGTATGTAATTACATTTATATAATTCCATAATTATATATGGCATTTATTAGAGTGGCTCCCAGGCTGTGGTACAGAAATGGATGTCTACCAATAGAAAGTATAAGAATCCAGTAGCTGTTCAGCCCACAAGGCTGGATGTCTCAGCTGGCCTTCAGTATATGCCAGAAGCTGGAAGAAGTAGGTGCTAAGAAGGAATAAACTTAGGGGCAAGCAGGCAAAAATCAAAAGCTTTCTTCTATGCCCCTTATATAGGTTACAAGCAAATGGTGTGGTCAACATTAAAAAGGATCTTTCCAGTAAAAAAAGATCAGGATTAAAGGTGGATTCTCCCACTTCAATGAATTTAACTAAGAAAATACATCCCTCATAGGGCTGCCCAGCTTCTTGGGTTTTATTTAATTTCAGATGTAGCAAGAGTAGGAATCACATTTCTACCCCTTGTCAATTTGACACACAATCATATCTCCTTATCTGCCTAATTTCCAAATGAAAACACTACCCAGGTCATAATTATACCATACATTATATAACTACCCCGTATTACAAAAGATATATATATATATATATATATATATATATCCAAATACAAATGAGTCATATATATTTAACTAGGTCATAATTATGCCTAACATGATATAACTATCTCATGTACAACTGCAAATGAATTATAATTTTCAGAATAAGTCGAAATGTCCCTTGAGGGACATTGTGTTAATATCCCAAAACCTAAATATGATAATTACTAATATTCTCTTAATTGATGTTACAATACATGATAAATAGGAAAGAAAACACAAATATCTGCACAAACACATTCTTAACAAAGTATGACAGAAACACTCATGTTAATTATATCTTTGTTTGTGCAGTTGATCCCATGGCCTTAGCTGATATTTATAACAACCTTCCTCTACTACCCATTCTGTATTTCCTCCACTGTCAGCAAGCACTTCAGCAGGCCTTGGTTCTCTTCCTGGAAAAGTGACCCGTACCAATATAATGAATATAAATCAAAAGGGTTTTATTGACTGGCTTACACAGAACAGTCTGGAGAGTCCAGCTGTGGCTCCTTCACCCTGGGGAGGCTGAGAGTCCAGCAGCTGCTCAGCCAGTGAGACTGGACCCTTCTTCAGTCCCAGTCCACTGCTGGAGGCCTGGAAGACTCCTGAGTGCCACTGGTCTTCAGTCCATACCGGAAGGCTGAAAAAGCTAGTTTCTGATGTCCATGAAAACGACAGCAGAAGCATCAGTACCAGCAGCAATTCACCATCAAGTGGTGAATTATATATATATATATATATATATATATATATATATATATATATATATCACTCACAAAAACACATACTAATTAATAAATAAATTTATTTTTTAAATTTCAAAACATGGTATATCACAATGTTTCACAAAACTTTCACTCAATTATATGAAAACATGCAATATATTCCTTTATTAGACCTCTTGATCACAACCAAAATAATTGGAACAATACCGACATGCCAAATCCTTTAATCTCTGCATACATGCCTGCTCCAATGGTGATTTCTATGTCATAGTCTTAGAATAAGGCATATAAAGCTAGCCACTGCTTTTGGATTACCATGGTAACACTTGTTGTTCCATGCTTGACACAAGGCTGCTGTGATCACATGCTCTCCCCTGACTTAGCATCTGAGTTTCTGTACTGTCTTACATAGTCTAACTAGTTTAGTACACTAATTCTTCTTTATAGCCGGGAGACTTGATATAATATTACCTGTTCCTGAATGTAGCTGTATTTTTATTGGCATGGCATTAGCCACAGCACTGAAAACATCCTGAAGACAACAAGAAGTCAGAGCAGAGAAAAGAATAAAATGAGCAGGGAAAGCGAGCTATAGAGAACAGTGTAGCCCTGGTTTCCAGTAAGAACCATATTAGGCCCTAACTCCACATGTCCAGTTCAGCTGGGTACATATGCCTTTAGTGTGCAATGGGGTAATTGGAGAGATGGCCGCTCAGTTCCCGGAAGGCTGTCTTTGCCTAAGTGTCAAGAGACGTATTTGTCCTTTAGCAAAATGTACTACTGGCTCTCATGTGCCTGCTAATATTAAGAATATTTCAGAAGCCCCTTGGTCAAAGGCCTTTACATAAGGCTGAAAGTTCTTGTCTTTCCACATTCCCTTTTATTTCTCCCCAGCAAAAGCTAGAAATAACAAATTATGACTGTCGACTGTTGTGTGTTACTAAATCACTCCAAGGTTTGTGAACATTTCTCAGAAAGATTACTTTACAGTATTACAGTAAATAGGGCACACAATGGTTGCACAGCTCTCTCAGCTAAGGTTGGACTGGGCTGACAATTACTGTTACTAACATAACAAAGGGGCACGGACCCGGTGAAATCTCCTTAAATAAGGTTCTGAGGGTTCACTGCCACACATGCCCTGCAAGTGTCTAAGAAAATGGCTACAAGGCTTGGTTGTTTGCACCTACCAAAATGTTGGTTTTTTTTTTTTTTTTTTTGCATTATTTTATTTTTGTTTATCTATTTGTTTTTCTATCTATACATGTATATTATCCATTCTGGATACACATTTTGTGGCGGTCTGAATGAAATGTGTCCCCTAAATCTCAGGCCTTTGAATACTTGGTCTCTGTTGCTTCTGTGTTAGGCATGGTTAGGAGGTGTGGCCTTGCTGGAGGAAATATATCACTGGAGGGAGGCTTTGGGTTTCAGAGGCTATTACTATTCCCAATTATCTCTCTGTTTCCTGTTTGTGGTTCAAGGTATAAGCTCTTAGCTTTCTGCTCCAACCACGTGGGTCAGTCTGCTCTCCCCACTGCTATGGAGCAGGACCTTCTGGAACCAAAAAAATAAATAAATAAACAAACAAACAAATAAATAAATAAATTCTTTATCCTATGAGTTGACATGTGCTGGCATACTTTTTTAAAAAACTTTTATTTACATTTTTTATATCTCTTTCTCCCTACTCTGTCTCAATCCCTTCCAATGCCTTAATGCCAGGTAGGAGAGAGAAAGGGTTAGTGGGAGAGGGGGTGCAGTTCTCTTAGCTACTTCCTGCTGGTTAGGGTCATCAGGTTTCTTAGAGCCAGTCCAATCCTTGTTTCAGGAGGTTCCAGATTCTTGGCTCACTGCATCAACAGCAGCAGCAGCCTTATTCTTTCTCGGGGCTCCTCCACACTCACTGGACTTTGGCATTTATTCTTTCTCCAGAGTCCTGAGATTTAAACTATCTGCAGCTGACAAAGAGCTCCTCTCAGAACCCACGAGAGACAAATAGTCTGATGTTATGGACCATCTGAATCAGTCCCACATCCCACACCTGGGATTAGAACAAAAACATGTTTATATGCACAACAGACATGGTCATGGTATTTTATCATAGCAATAGAAAAACAAGTAAAACAGAGTTCGATCTTTTTCATCCTCCTCCCTCCACACCAACCCACCTGCCTTTCCTCCAAGTCCCCATCACACAAAAGTTGTTTTTGCTTTGGTGACCTGCTGATGTTATCCAGCTTTGTCCCCATGGCAGGGGTGTGGAGCCATCAACTGGAATGTGTAATGGAAGACAAGGACTTCCCCTCGCAGAGCAAGTCTTAGCAGTCATCAGTTAGTGAACACGGAGATAAAATGTGCTAGGTCCACATAGTGAAACATCATGCTTCCATTAAAAGGAATAAAGCAGTAGTGTGTAACATGATACATAATATAGACGAGCCCTGAAAACATGCTAAGTGAAAGAGAGTAAACATAGAAGAAAGAGTGTGTGCTGTGTACTTGCTTTTCTATTAGGTGCTGTAGGAAAAAGAGCAAATACATAGACTGAGAGTAGGCAGGGGTTACCAACAGCTGGGCTGGCACCTCAGATAAGGAGTGACTGTTTTGGGGCGGTGTTTCTTTCTGACACAAGCAAAGTAAGGCTTTCACAAGTAAAATAAGACCATTGGTCTGCCCCTTCCACGTGGGAAGCTTATGATGAGTCAGTGATACTGAACTAAGCTTTTTCCTATCCCGTCCAGCCCTCATCTATCAGCTTGTCTAAAAGAATAGTATCATCCTGTTGGTAAACACCACATCACTGAGGCCAATAAAGGTAGAACAAATCTGTTCATTTCTGAATGTTTTCTTATGAGTTCCAAAATGGACTCTTTTCAAATGAAAATAAGAATGGAAATTTTTTATTAAATTTTTATTTTTTTATAGTAATTACTTTGTATTCCAGCTGTAGCCCCCTCCCTCATCTCCTTCTTGCCCCTCTCTAAGTCCTCTGATAGGGGAGGTCCTCCTCTCCTTCCTTCTGACCCTAGCTTATCAGGTAAGAATGGAAATTTAATATCACCTTTTACATCCTCCATAAAAATAAAAAATGAAAAAGCAGCCCCTCCCTAATTTCTAAAGTTTAAAACCCTTCATTCTGATTAAAATAAAAATACCCATCTTCCTTACAGGGCCTATAGTAAGTATGACTTACCGGAAGTGAGTCAACCCTACCAAATTCTCCCTTCCATCTTTCCATGTCATCATTGCAGATGCCCTCAAGAGCAGTGTGTTTCCTTGTTTGCTTTTTGTGCTCGCTGCTAGAGCTGCTATGGGATGAGAGCAAGGCTACAGAGACGTGAATCCCTAAACATCCCGTCAGTACTATTACTATGGTATGTCTCTGCATTCGACTGGGCTACATTGGAGCAGAAGAAACACAAGAGTTTTGATCTCCAAGACCAAGATCCTCAGTAACCTCAAAAGAGGAACTAAATTCAGACCAACCAGGTCCTTGGATTTAAAGGACCATGAGAGGAGAATTGCTTTTTATAATTAGTCATCTGTTCTCATTGCTAAGTCAAATTGGCATTTTTGCATCACCCTGTGGGTTCATATTTTAACCGGGACTCTGCCCCAAGAAACACTATTTAATTTCTTTCTTATATACTATTACAGCTGCTCCTCTTTGATAATGAAAATTTTATTTCAAACCTATGTGCTTCTGGTAAAGAAGCTTCTCCAGGCGCAGAGCTTGAAAAGAAATACTGATCATTTACAAATGGAACAAAGAAGTTTGAAATCTGCTACCAGTCTTGCTGCTGGACATAATCAGTGTGTGCTCTTTTGAAGTTCGTTTCTCCACCTGTGACTATACATCTGGAAAAGCAGTCCTTTCCCACATAGAATTTTAACACCTTTTCTGACACCTTTTCCTCCGTACTTTCCCTACTCTCACTTGTCCCGCTTCTTTGCTTTCACCCTGTGCAGGTGGCCTGTATCTTCAGGGATACAGGGTGACTGAACAGACCCACGGCTTTGAGCAATCAGTAATTGAACTCAGACCTTCATCAGAAGAGTTCAAGACCTTCTATTTCTGTGCGGAAAATAAAACGGAAAATCAGCGGTAAGCCAAGACCTCCCCTTCCTCCATCTGTCAGCTTTGATAAACAAACCCATCTCCTTCCGACTCCACTCCTTAAGGGAAATTCGTCCTTTCTTTGTAAACTTCATACTTATTATTCTCCAGGGTTATTTTTTTTCTTTTATCCCTTCTTCAGTGGCTTCTCTAGAGATACTTTTTCCCCTCAAATGAAGACATAGTAAGCTAAATTCCTGCCAAGACAGTGGGTAATTCTGGCTTTAATATTAAAACACACACACACACACACACACACACACAAATTTACAATTTGTAAACAATCCATAGATTTTTAAATTATATTTAGCATATCTTAGTTGTGTAAAACAGATTTGTCATTTGATCTGTTTTCACATAGCTTGCATTGATTTATCCATTTATATTTGGTTGATTGCTTCATTATAAGCCACTGAAGAACATAAAAGTGACTTAATCTGTGGTGTAGTCAATCATGGGCTGACATTCACAAACAACCATTTCATTCAAATGGTTCTGAAACACAAGAGTGGTGACGTTTCTAGACACAGTACAGTGAGGAAAGAGGTACTCAGTATCAACCAAGTGTTCCCAGGATGCCAATGTCCTTTCTATCCTGCCTGACTTTTACCTGCATCACAATAATCACATGCCCCAGGCCTTTTATTACAACTACAGGATCCCATAAGAAAATTTCTTAGTTAAGCTACTGGATGGACCTGATAGAACTTTAAAGAGGCATTTATAACAAATTGTGTGTTAAACACAAATACACTGCCCCAGGACTTCTTAGGTGGAGTTCTTCTCAATAATTTCTGGAAGTTATTGTTAAAAAACAATAAAATAAGGAAATAAACCGACTCTAAGGGAGATATCTCAAAAAGTGGAATTTTAGGGATCTCCCTCACTTGGGCAAAAGGTTAGGGATCCTCATCTGCCTTGTGTAAACATTACTCCTGTCTCTCCTTTGAAGGAAGTACTAAAATAGAAGTCAGGTGTGCTACTGCTGGGTGTGTTGCCATGACTCTCTTCCTGGACAGCTGGCAAACAGATAATGACAGTAAGCCTCCAGTTAGCACACTGGAGCAAGGGTCACCGACACTGATCTAAGTCCCATCCGATAAAACCTACTGCTTTCTCTGTTACAGCAGGCTAACCAGTTGGGGCTGACTGGTTAGCCATAACCAGTCAGAGCTGTACAAAGCAATATTGAGCCACCGGAGAAATATTTCAAAGCATAACTGTGGAAAGTTAAAAAAAAATAGAACTTAGAGCTACAGGTTATTCCGATAACCCCTAAAGTTTAGAAACAGATATAACTATAGTCTACACCCAGAGACCCACAAATTCATTTTGGGGTCTCTGAGAAAGCCTGTTGGAAATATTCTTGGGTAACCATTTCTGGTTGTTATTTCTGGTAGTCTAGTAACAGCATCTGCGCTTAGAAACAATGTTTCATAAAACATTGTTCAAGAAAATGAAAGCAAAAGAAAAGAGAATTAACTACAAGGGTCTGGGGTTTCTTTAACAAAGAAATATTTCTTTAACAAAGAAATTTTTTGTCAATATGGCAATATTTATTACATTTGTGATCTCCAGAGCTTAAAGTTAAATTAAATCAACGAAAACACTTCGAAATTTTAAAGGTTTATATTCCATTGATCACTATTTATTACCATCTCCCTCTCATCTATGCCCCTCACTTTCATTGCTGAGCCATCTCTACATTTCACCTTCTCGTTCAACCTGAAATCCATAGAGCATGTTTTTCCCATTAATTCCAAACTAAATAACTGAGAGAAACAATTAGAAAATAAATTAAAGAATGTTGTCACATTTTACCTCCCTAGAGCCTGACAGGCTTAATGATCTGTTCTGTGATTTCTTTTTCTTGCAGCTGGATTACAGCTTTGAAAACATCTATCAAAAAATGGCTTCCTTTGGACCAAGCTATTCAAGAGTTCATGAATCGACCTCTGGAGGAGACCAGAATGTGAAAGAAAGTCTAATTAAAAAGATAGATTCCACAAGGCTGTTTCCAGCTTGAGGAAAGAAATGAAACATTTCCCAATATTCTGAAACACAGTTTTTCAAGTGGATCTACTCCTTATGTATTAAAACTTGGAGCAACCTTCTGGTATCAGTGTTCAAGTACTGTACTTATGTCACAGCCTAGGCTGCTTTCATTTGCAGCAGCGTGCCCTAGGCCCCTACCTCTGACTCTTAAAACCATAAACGAACATGTATTTGTCTCATTTTGTCTTTTATATTCTTTGCTAAAAGCTTCATTCAGAACTTTGGCCATAAGCTTCAGAGGACATCTTGGGGCCGTGATGCAGGACAAACTAAAATCATGGAAATGATATTTCTGACCAGATAAAAAGGTATTTCAGCCAGAGGTCATCTTGTTAGGCTCTCTTATGAGGAACACTGCCCCAGGACTTCTTACGTGGAGTTCTTCTCAATAATTTCTGGATGTTATTGTTAAAAAAACAATAAAATAAGGAAATAAACCGACTGTAAGGGAGACATCTCAAAGACATGGATCTGATCCACCATATGAATTTCTACAAAATCAAATCATATAAAAAACTCACTGCTCTAGACCTAGAAAGCAAAATTTGAAGAAAGTAAAAAAAAAAAAAAAAAAAAAAAAAGGCCTTGGCTCTTTTTCTCAGTGTAATGATCTCTATGTTGAACTGAAGAAGTTGTACTGCATTTTGGAAGTCCCACGGACTGGGCATGGACCACAGATTTAATGTTCAGCTGTAAGATTCGAATACCCTGAAACAACTCACAAGGTAAAAGCAAGCCTATCCTTTCATTAAGAATGCTTTTGCAGAGCCATGAGAGCTTTGCAGCTTGACTCTTCTTCAGAGATGAGGGAAGGGGAGGTGATTTCCTGCTGATGACTAGACCAGTGGATCCTGGTACAACTGCAACTGAGTCCAGCTTCATCTCTTGACCCAATGTCTTCCCACCCACTGCCCTACCATGCCCAGGAAAATGTGGTGTGGTTACAAAGATACTGAAGCTTCCTGTAAAACACTTCCAGTCTGTAGGAAAAACTTGAAGCAATTCTCTATTTTTTAAATATTACTTAGCATCATTTTTATTACTTCTTTTACATTTTGAGATTGTAATATAATTACATTATTCCCTATCTCCCCTCCCCCTCCCCTGTTCCTTTCCTCCCTCTAAGCCCTTCCATAAATGTCCCCTTGCTCACTTCCAAATTAATGTCCTCTATCATTTGTTACATCTAATAGAAGTATCTCATGTTGATTTAAATTACATTATTATTTGCTAGACAACCTTAAGTGTGAAAAAGATAATAAAATCCTGTTGTCCTATATTCTTTAACACTACTTGGTGAAAATGAACATGGAATCCCCCCAAATACTGCCTGTGCCTGTTATTTGTCATAATTCAAATAAAGGAGTCTTGTGAGCAAGCGAGCATGTGCTACTTGCTCTGTGGACTAGGAGAAACTGCCTAGATGAGCTCATGCCCCAAAGCAGCATGCTACAGTGCTCTGACCAACTTAATGCTATAATCAAAAAAATATTTAATTAACAACAATACACAGCTCTTTCTCCTGAAAATGGTGCCTTTGTTCTCACAGTATCTGCCAGCACAATAATGAGGTCTTTCAGCAGAATTGTCAGGAATGTTCATGTCAGGAACCTGGGGCTTGCACTTCCGCTTCCCTGTGGTGTTTCTGCCTTTCTGGAGCCTGGCCATGGAATGCACAAACTGTGCCGTTACCAGGCAGCCAGCTAGTGACCACAGCCAACTGTAACACTGGCATGGAGCTCTGCCCTGCAAGGGAAAAACACAAGCAAATACCTCAGCCAAATGTGAACATAGTTTTCTGTGACTCAAGCTTTCACATAAATTCTTTGAAAGTGAATGATACCAACCTCTAAAGTCCAGAGACACAGCCCTGAACTTACTGTTGTTATCTGTGGAAGGTTCAGCTGACCTTAGCAATTATGGACATTAAGTTAAAAAAATTCTGAATGAGCATTTTTGTGCAGAGAAGGTTGGTAGTTTTTATGTGATTCTAAAGGAGGAAACATGACCCAGAAAGGAAAACAAAATATACATTTTCAGTTCTAAGACTGGACTATTTTCCAAGACCCAGCGGGTTTGCATCACCAATAGATATGAGCAGAAGGGGAAAGACCTGGACTAGCCTTCTACATAAGCAGGCTCTGGCTGTACATCCTTGGGCTTTGCCTTTTATCAAACCAGAGAGCACATCCCACGAGCTCAGTCGGTTAGTAGATGTATAGTGAGCTACCACCTGACTGCCGCCGCCAACTACCAGGAAGAAAAGGTAGAAAAGGCACATAAATCATTCGCAGCACGGAAAGTGATTCAGAGTTTCATTGCTAACCCTCCTTTATTCTCGCTACAACCCCAGGGAAGTTACTTGAGCTTTCCTTGCTTTAGCTATCTCATCATTACATCCAGTAATTCCTGTCTCAACTCTCTATGAAAATTCAATAAACACAACCACCTATAAAAAGTCCTGGAAAAGTATGAAATCCTACAGTCGCCCAGAATGGTTTTTGGTGTCATTAACAAGATGCTCCAATTCTCATTCTACTCCTTCTACTTACAGTGTGCATACTTTAGAGAAGCCTCCAGAACACTGTACTTGGAGTTGCCATTAGAATTACGTGCAGTGCAACACAAATACATAAACATCCCAAACATAATACTATCATGAAGAAGGACATGCTCCTTATATCTCTGAAAGTGGCTTCAGGAAAAATACAGAAAGTTGTGTTGTCTCCTGAGGGTCTGAACGTAGAAAGAATATAGAAGAGATCCATCAATATTCTATCTGGACAGTATATAAAAGAATAAAAGGGCAAACATGCTTATCTCATAATATGGCCTCATGTAGAAGCACCATGACTGGCTTACAATTACTAAAGCTCCTTGGTAAACTGAATTTTCCATTAGCATTTCAAGGAAGCTCCAATCTATATCCTGGTAGTTCTCAGCCTTCCTAATGCTGCTCCTCTTGTTGTGGTGACTCTCCAACCACATGACTATTTCGTTCCTACTTCATAACTATAATTTTGTTTCTGTTATAAATTACAATGTAAATATCTAATACACGGGATATCTAATACAAAACCTCTGTAAAATGGTCATCCAATCCCCGGGAGGAGTCACAACCTCCAGTTTGAGAACCACTGCTCCCTCCTAATGGTTTCACCAAATTCCCTATGGCACATGCAAGATGGTCCAATTTTCATTCCGCTCCTTCTGTTGGCCGTGTATGCACTTGAGGAAAACCTCTAGACCACTGTACTTGCAGTTCTCATTAGAATTACGTGCAGTGTCATCTGGGTTGTTTCCAGATTCTGGCTAGTACGAGTAAAGCTGCTATGAACATGGTTGAGCCAATGTCCTTGTGACATGAGGCTTGCCTTGGTTCATGGTCAATACGCAGTGAGACTCATTGCAGAAACCCAATGTTTCCTTTGTAAGCAAGTGTTAGTTTCAGATAGCTTCTTGGTTGAGGACGAGACCTCTATTTCCCCCTCTGGTTTTTGAAAACCTGGGCAGGCCCAGTATGTTCTGTCAGTCTTAGACTTCATATGCACATGGCTGCTGTTGTTTCTGGAAGACACTCTTTCCATGGAGTCCTCAACCACTTCTGGCTCTTAAAATCTTTCCACTTTCTCTGGAGATGGGGGTTGATGAAGAGAAGACATCCCACTCAGAACTAAGCTCTCTGAATTCTCTCACTCTCTGCATACTGTCCTGTCATGTATCTCTGTGTTAGTTCCCACTTACTCCAAGAAAAAGCTTTTCTGTCAGCCAATTACTCCTAGGAATGTGGCCTGTCTTGATGTATGGTCAATACTCAGTGAGACTCCATTGAAGAAACCTTATTTTTATTAATTTTTGTCTGTGTGAGGCGTTGTTCTAACTGAGGGTGAATTTTGTCTAGCTTCATTCATTTACCTATGAATTCCATAATCTCATTTTTAACAGGTAAAAATCAGTTCATTGTGTAAATGTTCTCCATTTTACTTATCCATTAATCAGTTGATGGACATCTAGACTGTTTCCAGTTTCTGTTATTATAGACAGGTCAACAATGAATGTGGTTGAACAAATGTCTTTGTGGGATAATGTAGTCTTTTGGGTATATGCCCAAGAGTGGGGTAGCTGAATTATGAGGTAGACAGGTTTCCATCTTCACAGTGGCTGTACAAGATTCCACCAACAATGAAGTGTTTCACTTACTCCACAACCTCATCAGCACGAGCTGCCATTTGTTTTATTGATCTTGGCCATTTTCAATCATGACAGTATGACGGGGTTAGCTCTTCTTTATATCATCAGAAAATGCAAACGCATATCCAGCAACATATATGGGAGGCTCAGGTTTTCCTTGTCAAGGCTGAGAGATAGGAGCTTTAACAGTTCTAAGGTACTTGTTCCTTCATATTGGTAAAGGTCTCCCATTCCCTCTCAGATGCTTGAACTCTGAGCCTCTTGACTTGCATGATATGACCCATAATGACAATGAGGCAGCTGCTGTTCAAGTTGAGCTACTGTTATTTGCCATCAAAGTGAGGTGATGACAGAAACTATTTCTTCAATCGGACACTTTGAGAAAAGACACTATTAGTGTTTACACTGAGATAGGAAATGTCCAAAGCAAAGGGACATTCCACAGAAAAGTATAGTCATATGTAGCCTTGTGAATAACCTACATGTTGTAGCTTCTTACTTATATTTGTATGAACATCATTCAATCATAGCTCCGACAAATTAGGAAACCAATCACATTTGGCAAATGGGGGGGTATTTAAAAATAAGTCTGGTTCTGTGCTTGAAGTGGAGTAGGAAAAGAAGTAGTCAGTTTTCCAAATAGTTGAGTCTCAGAAATACAACAGTTGGCATGGGCAGGCATAGCACTGCTGAGACTATTCCTGAGACGAACCCCCAGACAATCGGAGGC